AAGTTGGGTACAATTCCAGAACTGTTGAAATCGATTCTGTTATGTTTCCATTGGAGCAGCACTTTAGTTGCAATAAATCAGTTGTATAAGTCTTTAGTTGACATTAGGAGAATTTAAATTTCATATTCATGTTATCAGATTTGTGTTAGGTAGTTCCTATTTTGTTGGGTTGTTCCTTGTTTAGTGAGATAGTGGGTTTGTTCCTATTTTAGTGTGATATTTGGTGCTAAACTTTAGCAGAGTGGTTCACTTTATTCCTATTTATTGTACTGATCACAGTTTGAAATGAACAACCAGAATTTTACTCCACTCTTGTGTGATATTGGAGGATTGGGTTTCCCTCGAAGCAAACCAATTTTTGATTTCTCTGTTCCTGACTGTCTTCCAGCAACTCTGTTTTTCTTTGTTTTCCCTTCCTAGCAAAAATAGGTAAACAGAAGAACAAGAACACCAGCTCTGCTGCAGCTGTACATAACAGATCCAGTGTTACTTAATTTGGAAGGAAAAGAGGCTGGTCACAAAGTCAGAATCTGATAGGACTAAATCACCCAAATGCTTCTCATCTTTTCCTGAGCCTGAGGTTTAAGTGAAAGTATTGTATTTGTAGGCCAGTGCAGTGCAGATTAAAGAAAAATGCTTCAACACTTCTCCAAGCCGGCCTTGCACACTACGTCGTGGTGGGAAAGAGAATCTACACATCATAGCCCCATCAGCACAACTTTCTCACATGTTCAATACCTGTTCCAGCTCTTGAATTTTGAAGGCTAATGAGTGTTGTTGATTTGATTTGAAATTTGTTTCCCAGTTCCCTTGATCCAATTAACATAAAAGATAAGTGGAATGAACAGAAAACAGTTTTTAGCTCAAGATAGCTAGAAAAATATGTACTACGTAAAATGCCATTGGTACATATAACATATTGAGTGTGCATAATATTACCTACCAGACCTGTTGGGGATTAAAAATGCTTGAAGTACTCTTTTTTTTGACCCAAGTGTTTCAGTGAATCTAAAGTCAGCCTTGTATGCTACTAGGTACGTGTAGATGTATAACAAGATTATTCAATTCCGTACTCAATTTTATTGTCAGTGGGCAAGAGAATTGCCACAACATTGCCCCATCAGCACAAAATAATTTTCCACATTGAACTACTAGTGTTCAACTCTTGAACTTTAGCCCAGTTAAATTGCACCAATTAGCATAGAAATTTAACATAAAATAAAAAAAATTTTAAAAGACAGATAGTCAGATAAGAAAAAGAAGACATGGCTTTAGCCCAAGTAGAAAAACATATTTAATCTGTTAAAATTCTATAGATATATATCAATATTCCGTAAACACAGCTGAATAATGTTAGAACCATTTTTGAGAATGACAAAGAAGAAGAGTTGTGGGTTAAGAGCTGGTAATTCAGTTTTGATGTTTGGTTGAGTTTGTAACTCTATGACCTCCATAGAATTCCTTGCGGACAAGTTAAGGAATTTTTTTTCGTTGATGATTTACAAATCCCATAAATCATCAGTCAAAATCGTCTGCAGTGCATCATTTGTGTGTTTTTTTTTTTTATATTTCACTTCAAAGTTGAGTTTCAATTTCTTACGCTTGGTTGAGTCTCACGGGCATCAAAATATTTTGATATTCCAAAGACTCGAACAAACCTGACTACAAACAAGAGAGCACACTAAGTTGGTTCAAGATGATCAATCTGCTGTTCATACGTCGGAGTAGAGTATTACAATTCTGGGAGCAAAAATTAGACCGGATCAACATCGAGGCCTAGGTTGGCCAGGCTTCCATGAGCAATCCTAGTCCATAAGTCCTACTAGTGCCACATGGCAGAGGTCAAAGTATGACCAAAGAAAAACTAGTAAATTTTAATTATACATAAGAGTGACTACAAAATACGTATAGTTTTGCTCCCTTAATATAAACACATCTAGATATAATAGAGCAGGACAAAAAAGAAATCTCTGTTTGGATCACTTATGAGCCAAGTTGTATGTCACCGAGCTTGGGAGATTGCCTGCTCAAGATATTTCAAAGTTTTTTGATAATTCAGGAATCCCATAAACCAGAAATCAAAATTATCCACAGTAACTATTTCGATGTACTTCTGTGATGGTCTCTTCACATTTTGGCTTTCACTGGCACTCAATATCTTTTCTACCGGGATCAAAACCTTGTAATGAATTCTTACAAAATCACCAGTTGGAGAAGACAATTTGATGGATCTATCACTGCAGAAGGCAACCTTGTCAGTGGAGATGAAGAGGAGGCCTGCTATTGGACCAGCTGTTGTTGATAAATAGCATTGGGAAGCCTTTAGCAGCTTCTCTCCTTCTGTAACACTGAAATTGTGCTTGAAAATCTTCTCCAAACCACCTACTCGAATAATTTTAGCCCCCAAGCTTAGTTTCCCCTTCACAATTTTGGAGATCTTGGGCCCCAATCTCACTGAAATTTTCACAAAATGCAATAAGACTCACATTCACATAAAAGCATATCTCATGATCATCCTATGTTGGTTGACACTAACACAGCTATGGAAAAGAAAGCAATTTTATTTCGATGTTAAAATATATATATATATTTATTTCAAAACTTTCCAGTTGGTTTTTCTGCCATCTTTTTGGCAGTAAAAAAAATATAGATTTTAATATGGTACATATCAATAAACAGTAAATAATTTTCTACAAAAGAAAAATTCATATTCTTGAATTGAGTTATTCTCAGACTTGTTTGAAGCAAGGAAACAGTTACTTACCAAGCTCACGTATGCCATTTGCAAGGTTGTCTGCTTTTCCTCCAAGTTTATTCACCCTATCTTCTTTATCTGCACATTTGTCACAAATCAATTGCTAAACAGTGTCTCAATTTTAGTCACTTAAAACTAGTAAGGTACAAAAAAAAAAAAAGAAAAAAAAAAAAAAAAAGA